CCCCCAAGAGCCAAGATGGCCCCAAGAGGCCCCCAGGAGGCCCCCAAGAGGCCTCCAAGAGGCCCCCCAGAGGCCCCCAAGCGGCCCCAAGAGGCCCCCAAGAGGCCCCCAAGAGGCCCCCACGAGGCCCCACGAGGCCCCAAGAGGCCCCCAAGAGGCCCCCAAGAGGCCCCCAAGAGGCCCCACGAGGCCCCAAGAGGCCCCCAAGAGGCCCCCAAGAGGCCCAACGAGGAGCCCGAACGACTCACACCAGGACGAGGGGCCCGAACGACTCACACCACGAAGAGCCCGAACGACTCAAACCACGACGAAGAGCCCGAACGACTCACACCAGGAAAAAGGGCCCGAACGACTCACACCAGGACGAGAGGCCCGGAGATATGCGGGGGCAGGCGGAAACACGCCTGAAAAACACGACTGTCGGCATGCTTCGCAAGAGTTGCTGTTTTGAGATGGGCTGGTGGGGATACGCGAAGCGTGAAGAATTTTTCAATTTACGCAGGATCGGTGCTCCCGCCTGTGACCTCCTCGCAATTTAGTCAGGACCCCCGCTCCCACCTGAGACTTCATCACGCTACACTTTACTCAGGTACGGCGCTCCCGCTCGAGACTTCCTCGCAATTGAATCAAGACTTCTTCGGAATTTCAATCAAGACCCTAAGAACACCAAGTGGTGTTCTGGGAACACAAAGAACACGAAGTGGCCTACAGTTGGCTCCGGGCATTTAAAATGTGGCCTGGGAGTGGTGTTCTGGGAACACGAAGAACACGAAGTGGCTTACAGTTGGCTCTGGGCATTCAAAATGTGGCCTGGGAGTGGTGTTCTGGAAACACGAAGAACACGAAGTGGCTTACAGTTGGCTCCAGGCATTCAAAATGTGGCCTGGGAATGGTGTTCTGGGAATGGATTCCTAAGGATTCCTAAGAATTCCTAAGGATTCCTAAAGATTTCTGGGGCTGACCCTTTTGTCTGGTTTTGTCCGGATCCCGCCCAGACCCCCCTGGGGCGTCAAGATGCTTTCTTTTGACACCAGTAGAAGCCGATCACTCTTCGCTGTTACGTACAAGAATGAAATTTCGAGCGGGAACGTTGTTGTTGAACTTTCACTGCTGCAAAAAAAGTATTGCTGATCCTCCCTCACCGGTGCATGCTGTTTGTTCTGAATCAAAGTGTGCTCCTCGACGTTCGCACCTGGTTTTTTGACAGGGAAAGTCTCGGTGCTCAAACTGTGCCCTTGGCCCCCTTGGATTACAACAACAACATACAACAACGGCTCCCGCCTGAGACTTTCTCCAAATTGTCTCAGGACCCCCGCTCCTGAGACTTCCTCACAAATTACTCAGGATCGGTGCTCCCGTCTGTGACCTCCTCGCAATTTAGTGAGGACCCCCCGCTCCCATCTGCGACTTCTTTTCAATTTACTCAGGAGCGGCGCTCCCGCTTGAGACTTCCTCGGACGTCCTCGCAATCGAATCAAGACTTCCTCGCAAATTAATCAAGACCCCCGCTCCCGCCAGAGAACCCCTCACATTCTATTCAGGAATTGCGTTTTCGTTTGTGATTTCCATGCAATGTATTCCGGCATCGCGCTTTCGACGCTCAGAAAACACGCTGCGCCAAGGACGCCGTCACAATTTAATTCGGAATCGCGCTCTTGCCATACTCAGGCATCCCGCTTGAATGTCCCACCCGCCCGACACGCCCGTCAGGGGATCGCCCGCCCGTCGTGGGCTCCTGCCCGAGACTTCCTTCAGGAACGGCGCTTTCGCCTAGGACTTCCTCGAACGTTCACGCTCGTACCTTCCTGCTCCTCCTCGCTCTCCCTCGTCCCTCCTCCCTCCTCTCCTCCCTTCTCAATCCCTCCTCTCATCCTTATGCCTCTCTGCCCTATCGCATATCCCTCCTCTCCCGCCTCCCTTCTCCCTCCCCTCTCCTGCCTCCTCCCTCCCTCTTTCTTTCTCTCTCTCTCTCTCTCTCTCCACTCTCTCTCTCTCTCTCTCTCTCCCTCTCTCTCTCTCTGTCCCTCTACCTCTCTTATCTGTCTTTCGCTTTTTTTTTTTTTCTCTCTCTCTCTCTCTCTCTCTCTCTCTCTCTCTCTGTAATCAACCGCCCCCTTCTTCGCTCCTTCTCTCCTGGCGTTTTCCCTCTTCCTTCGTCTCTCCCCCTCCCTTCCTCCCGCTCTCCCTCGTTCTCCCCCTCCTCTGTTTGCAGGGCCCACACCAATTCCAATGGCGGGCACAGGTACGCCCACGACGGATTGTCCGCCCGTTTAGGTTTGCCCGCCTGTCGATGCCCGCCGCCCCCCACAAAGAGAAATAATCCCCCCAAAGGGGGTGTGATCGAACACTAAATGGGCGGGTATCGAGGGTGTGGGGAACGCGTTTTGAATAACACACGGGCAAGTAAGAGCGAACCGTCTTATAATGATTGTTGTTGTTGTTGTTGTTGGACACTGTTGTTGTTGGTGTTGTTGTTGGTGGTGTTGTTGTTTGTTGTCGTCGCCCCACCCGCGACCCACCCGCGACCCGACCCACCCGCGACCCACCCCGCGACCCACCCGCGACCCACCCTGCGACCCATCCGCGGTTTTTCCTCAAGGGAGGAAAAACCACCCAGACCCGACCGACAATTGACGTTTTCTAACCGGCCCTGGGCGTTGTGTAAACAGCCCTGCCCTGTTCGAGTCATTCCAGTGTGTGCGTTTACTAAACGTCTCTGCTTGTCGGGGCGATCGTTATGGGGTGGATTTTCTGCCCCCTACGCCCGCGACCCACCCGCGACCCAACAACGACCCACCCGCGACTCACCCGCGACCGATTTGCGACCCACCCGCGACCTACCCACATTGATTTAACGAAAAAATCGGCGCCTGCGGCGGGCTCGTTGCATAATTGGTGAAACTTTGGCGCGTATCGCAAACGGCCGACGCCCCCGCCGTCTCCTCACTCTTATCCGCATCTGCGGGGCACTACGTATGTATATATTCCTATCCTTATTATCTCACATCAAGAGATCCCCGGGGATGGGCGCCCCCCCCCCATAGAATCTGGCGGCCCCAGGGGCCCGCGGGGCTCTCTCTGGCCAGTCCCCGGAGGCCCCAGGCATCACTCGGGTGTTCTCTGGCCCGCCAGTTGGGCTCCCCAAGACGGTCCAAAGGCCACGAAATCGCCGAATAATCTGCCCAAGACGCCTATGATGACTTGACGACTGCCCAAAAGGCCCCCAATATCGCCCAAGGCAGCCTGAGTCGCCTGAAGCATCTTCGCATTTGGGCTCACATATTCCGCGAGCGAAATGGTCCGTCCAGTTTCGCTTGAGACATCCCGCCATGCTGGGCCCAGATATGCTTCCACATGAAGTGGCCCTGCCAGTTTCCCCTCAAACGTCCTCCCCTATTTGGGCTCCGCGTGCCGCGCGCAAGATGGCGCGGCCAGCATCGCTTCAGACATGATCGGAACTTTGACCTGAAACATGTCCGGACCTGAAGTGGTCCAGCCATTCTCGCTTGAGACGCCCTCGCAAATCTGCGTCCAGAGATGCCGCGCGAAAGATGCCCCGGCCATTTCCGCCTGTGACATCCTGCCAACTCTGGGCTCAAAATGCCGCTAACTTCAAGTGGCCTGGCCAGTCTCACTTGATTACTCCTGCCAACTGTGGCTCAGAGATGGCGCGCGCAGACACCCAAGCAACGCCGAGACGCCCAAGCAACTGCCGAGACACCCCAGCAACTTCCAAGCCAGATTCGCCTGAGACACCCAATCCACTTTCGAGATAAGGGATGCCCCCACCTAGAGTACTTCCAGCCAGTCTCGCCTCAGAAGTCCTCCCCTGTTTGAGCTCAGGCGCGCCGCGCGCGAGGAGGTCCGTCCAATTTAGCTTCAGATATAATCGCAATGTGATCCTGAGAGAGATCTGAACTTTAGTGTCCAGCCACTCTCGCCTCAGATGGCGAACGAGAGATGCCCTGGCCAATTTCGCATATCCCCATGTCCTGGGCGCCCTTCCCCGCTCGTGCTACACCGCATGTCAATTCTGCATTGGTCGATCAGCATCTGGCTTAAGCGTCCGCTGCGTCCTGGGCACGCCCGACGTCGCCGCCCCATCCGTTGAATTGCCATCGGCCGCGCCTCCTCGTACGATGGCTCCCAAGACGTCCGACGCGACGTGCAGGCCTCGGAAAAATAGCGAACACTCATGCCACATTCATCTTGAACGCCCCCCCCCCCCCCTTCCCCCAATGTTCAAAGTTGGCGGTGAGTCTGATGAGTTGCACCTCGACCGCAGCCCCCCCCCCCCCCCGCGTGCCAACTTTGAGTTTTGGGGGCAGGGGGGCGTTCACTAATTGTTTCCCTCTACCGTGCGACTACACCCCGACCCCAGCAGCATCGCCCGCTGCAGGCGCGCAAGCGCCAGGTAACCGCGAGTGCCCCTCTACACTGAGCACGGCCACGTGGAGCTCGTGGACATCAACAAACACAAGTCCAACGGCGTCCGCGTCACCATCGCAAACGGCGCGAGCCTCCGAGCGCAAGACACATGGATTCACCACGTTGTGGAAAGACCCCGTCGCCGTCCACGACCTCCCACCAGCGCCTCTTGGAGTTCAGACCGCCCAGCGCGGTTCGCACGAGCGTTCAGCCAGGGGAACCCCAATCCGAGCTGGGCGCACGTGCACGCGGATTTCGGACTGAACCCGCGCACCGCCGCCGCCGCCCACAAGCACGTCATCCAGTTCACCGCGGACGCTCTCACGCACAGCTACTTCGAGGCCGACTTTGAGGTCCCTGCGAATGAGAAGCGCTCGAGCTTCAAGATCACTTCAGCCAAAACCAACAACCGCCTCAGCCTCACCAGGCAGTTCAAGATGATGGACGGCACCGACGAAACAGTCAAGGAGCTTCACAACTTCTGCTTCTTGGTTGCGAGTAACGCCCCCGGACAAGTTGCTCACCCCGCTGCGCAACCTCCACAAAAAGTACCCTCAGTTCATCGCGCGGGCCTCGCGCGCGCCGAACGCGCCCACGCAGGACACCGTGCCGTCAGCGCTCCCTTCGCCCACGGCAGAGCCCAGCGGGCCCCGCAAGCGCCCTGCAGCGGCGACGCCGACAGCCCCGGTGACCAAGAAGCCAGCGAGGATGTCCAAGAAGTTAGGTGCCCTGCAGGGTCCGCCCACCGAGCCATGCAGATTTGCACACCGGGCGCGGGAACGCTTCCTTTCGGGAAGTCCGGGACGCTGAGCTACGCGCCGATTTTTTCAAGCAGGTTCGGGGGCGTTCGTCGCCGCTCCGATTTTGCAGAGCACCACGTCAGGATCGCCCCTACACTCAGTTAGAAAAAAACATCATCACCAAACTGTGCGGCGTCGCCGCCCGTGACTTTCCCAACCCAAATCTGCAGAGGTATGAGGCCACCATCGTTGCCAGCACCCTTCGTTGTATTCACCTCATCCGAAGCCTCCCTCTCCCTTCCCCTGCCCTCGGCGTTGCATCCCCACCTAATCTTATCGCCGATGACCGTCGCGTGCATCGCCCCTTGCCAACTCGGCGCGCGCGCACGGCGCGCGCGCACTCCATGGGCCGACGCCCATGCGCCCGTGACCTTCCCATCCACGCCCCTGCCCATCGCCGACGCTTCAGCCCGCATAGTTGCACTTCGCTCGCACACTGCACGCCAGCGCATCGTGCTAAGACCTCCAAGCGAAGCGCAGCGAGCTTCAAGTCTTGTATATATATATATATATATATATGCGTCTTTAAGAACAATACGAATAGCATTCAGAATAACAATAATAATAATAATAACATTACTAATAATACTACGACTAATACTAATAATAGTAATACTACTAAGTATAAAAAATGAGCATCATACGAATAGTCATACAAATAACAAAGTTAATAATAATACGGGTGATACGAATACTACTAATAATAATACGGATAGTCATAAAATTAATACGAATAACAATAACAACAATAATAATATGAACACATGTGTGTATCCTTTGAACTGGAGCTCCATTGCGGCATAATATACTATTCTATTTTCCTCCTCCTACAAGCTACTGGCTGCGGACCTTTGGTTCCCTCTATGGGGATGCGGCCCTCGCATCCTCCTCCTCCTCCTCCTCCTCCTCCTCCTCCGCCTCCTCCTCCTCCCCCTCCTCGCCCTCGCCCTCCTCCTCCTCCCCCTCCTCCGCCTCCTCCTCCTCCTCCACCTCCTCCTTCTCCTCCCCCTCCCCCTCCTGCCCGGGTGAGCCGAGCGCGCCTGCTTGGGGCCACCCCTCGGCGGCGTGCGCGGGCGTCTGCCTGAGGGTGGGCGGGCCGCCCCGGCGGGCCCCGCATCCTCCGGTCTCCCGGCTCCTCCCCCTCTCTCTCCCTCTCTCCCTCCTTCCCTCCCCCCTTCCCTCTCTCTCTCTCTCTCTCTCCCTCCCTCCCCCCTCTCCCTCCCTCCCTCCCTCCCTCTCTCTCTCTCTCTCCCTCCCTCCCTCCCTCCCTCTCTCTTTCTCCATCCCTCCATCCCTCTCTCGTTTCCTCCCCCCCTCCATCCTTCCTCCCCCCCTTTCTCGCGAAGGAGCGTGCTGGTCGGAAGGACGGACCGGGCGTTTCGCAAGAGACTTCCTCACCACTCATGATCCTGAAGCTTCAGAATTGGCAACGGTTTCACACATGGAGGGCGGGTGGTTTTCAAAATGTGGCTCTCGCCTTGGCGCCGCGCATACTCGTCTTAATACACTGCAGGAGTTTTACGGATTGAGAGCGGGTCATTTTCAAAACGAGCGCATTCGTTTTGAAGATTTCCAAGAGCTTCACTGATTGAGAGCGGGCCGTTTTTTATGGAATTATCGCGTTAGCGCCGCGCACATTCGTTTCACAAGTTGCAAGAGCTTCACGGATTGAGGGCAGGCCGTTTTCAAAATCTTGTTCTCGCCTTAGCGCCGCGCACATTCGTTGTAACAGACAGATGTAACAGATTCACGGATTGAAGGCGGGTCGTGTTCAAAATGTGGCTCTCGCCTGGGCGCCACGTGCACTCGTTTTTTAACAATGCCAGAGTTTTACTGATTCTCATGGTCATCAGATTGGAACGCTTCAAGAATGCCACGGCTCAACAGTTACTTGGATTCGCGGTGTTGCAGTCCCAGGACTGGTGTTCTGGCACCATTTAAGGCCGCCAAGACGTAGCAGTCAGGTTGATTCGAGGCGCTGGAGTCCAGAGAATGATGTTTGGCACGCGTCAGGATATTCAAACGGTTGTCTCCCAACGGGGCGATTCCCTCAGAGGAAATGAACCCTTGTAGGGGCTTGTGAAGAGGGAGCTTAGAGGGATGGTGTATTTCAACAGCGTTGATGAGTCTTGCGTTTGCACTGGACCCCCTCTTCCACCTCCTCCTCCTCCTCCTCCTCCTCCTCCTCCTACTCCTCCATTCATTGTTACTCACATGTAACTTCTCGCTGTCGCACCCCGAGGCTGGTCGAAAGGGCAGGTCGGGCGATTCGCTTGAGACTTCCTCACCGCTTATGATCCTGAAGCTGACACGTTGGCAATAGTTTCACTGCTTGAGGGCGATCGGATTGAGAGCGGGTCGTTTGTAAACATATGGTTGTCGCGTTAGCGCCGCGCACGCTCGTCTGAACACATTGCGAGAGCTTCACGGATCGAAGGCGGGTGGTTTTCAACATGTAGCTCTCTCCTTAGCGCCTTAGCGCCGCGCACATTCGCTTAAACATGTGTAAGAAATTGAAGGGTTCCCAGTGTTAACGTATCGGGCATTGCGTTTGGGAGCGATTCAAGATTGCCAGGGCGCAACATGTACGTTGATTCGCGGTGCTGAAGTCCCAGGACTGGTGTTCTGGCACGCTTGCGGAAGACACAGCAGTCAGGTTGATGCGCGGCGTTGGAATCCAGATGATAATGTATTGGCACGCTTCAGGGTCTTCAAACGGTTGCCTCCCAAGGGGCGTTTCCCTCAGTGGGCATGAACCCATGCAGGGGCTTATGAAGAGGGCGCTTAGAGGGAGAGCTTAGTCCGATATCATTGATGAATCCTGGGTTTGCACCTGTCCCCCCTCCTCCTCCTCCTGCTGCTCCTCCTCCTGCTCCTCCTCCTCCTCCTCCCCCTGCTCCTCCTCCTCCTCCTCCTCCTCCTCCTCCTCCTCCTCCTCCTCCTCCTCCTCCTCCTCCTCCTCCCCCTCGACCCTCGATCCCCGAGCCTCGAGCCTCGAGGGGGGGCCGCCCTCCTCCGCGCCCGCGGCCCGCGTCGCGCGGGCGCCCGCCTGAGGGCGGAGGCGCGGCGCCTGGCGAGCGAGCCCGCGGGTCCGCCCCCGCGGGCGCCTGCACGAAACACCGCGCGCCGCCGCGGAAGGAGCACCCGCAGGCCTTCCAGGCGATGGGGGGGAGCAATAGGCGGAGGAGGAGGAGGAGGGGGAGGACGAGGCGGAGGAGAGGACGAGGAGGGACGAGGAGGAGGAGGAGGAGGAGGGAGGAGGAGGAGGAGAGGGGGGGGAGGAGATGATGATGATGATGATGATGATGCTGATGATGATGATGATGATGATGATGATGATGATGATGATGATGATGATGATGATGATGATGATGAGAGGAGAGGAGGAGGAGGAGGAGGAGGAGCGAGGAGGAGGAGGAGGAGGGGGGGTGAAGGAGGAGGAGGAGGAGCGAGGCAGTCGACCTCAAATGGGTAGCCATTGCCACTACTAAACGCACGCACAACGACATCGACGCAGCACCAATACCACCACGGCAACAGACCGCATACATCTGCTACGAGTCTGGGCACACATCTCGGTCAATAGGAGAACGGAGAGCTCATCGCGCTAAAAAAGCATCCATAGCCAGACGACATCGCTAACAAAGTGTAAGAGAGCAGTTGCCGATGCGCCAACACCAAGTCCACACACGACGAAGATTGTTCACTCGCTTGCGACATAGTGGACATATGCAAGCAGTACTACATGCAGTATCTACCCACACTGGCACCATACATATAGCAGCTATACAACATAACGACAACGCAGAGACCAACACAGACAAGGACAACGGATTACGACCAGACGCAGCGGCCACACCAGCAGCACTCCCAGAAGGCTGCACGCGACAACCTCGCATGCCATACGACAAGGCAACGCCACCACCAACCGTCATTACTGAAGAATGGACCCCAACGCAACCGCTCAGCGACACGAAGAAGGAACCAACATACATCCTGCTGCTATTTCAAGATGAACGGCATCACAACGACCTACACCATCAGCTTGACACCAGCCCAGACACCAGCAATTACATGTGCACCAGCGGTGGCTATAGTACGGATGTTACAGGCGCATGTATTCACATGATCCTACAAGGTCAAGTAGCGGCTATATTCAACAAACCACAGGAGGACACTTGGCCAGTCAGAGCTACGCACCGCACCACAACGCAGTCTTGGGGCATCCCCAACCAACCTATGGAGCAGCTCTTAAAGACACGAGTAGCCAACGGGAGGATCCAGCACATGATCCTGGTACTGGCAGCGGCCAGCACACAGACACAACGGCCAAGCTAATTGCCGAACAGCCAAGATGGGACATCTGGCAGATACCTCAATTCCGACAACTAGCCGACGGGAAACGCTACCTCGATTTCGACCAAGGCACATTCAACACGCCGACAAATGCGCCAACCATACTGATGACACTGCATTTGCCGAGGGTAGCAAGCGCAACCACCAAACGCCACAACGTAATCAGATGCACCTGCAACATTCACAGCCCAGCAACATGCAACCCAACTCCAGGCAGCTTCAACCTACCTACAGATCTCTGCAGCCTTATTGCGAAATGCCTGGCAGAAACACTAACGCCATCGGTCAAAGCAACGCCACCAGAGGACCCCTGCGACTACCTACCACTAGATCCGTACTTACATCAGCACATCCCAAGTCACACGGACACAAAAGCAGCACCCTACGCCCGACCTGCCCGACCACCAGTCCATACATCAGCGTAGACCTGACATTAATCCTATCGCCTGCCTCGTACCAGGCATGGGAGCCTACGGGCATGCCACAGGGAGAGGCACCCTACCAAAGGCGAGTGGAAGACCGCCCACTGCATGCCTGGCAAGGAGGGCCCATGGGGCATACCTCAGGGAGGAGCACACGGGCCATTCGTACTTTCCTCTTCGTTCGTGCGATTCTGCCGCACGTGCAGCAAGCCTGCTTCGCACCTGGAACGAGATGGATAGCTTTCAATGCAGCATACCGCGTAGATACAACGTTGCGTTGCGTGTCATGTTTTGAAAGCAGCTCTCACACGCAGACATCACGAAAGCATTGTCATACTCAAGAGGCTAACGCCGTAGGACACATTCAGCATAAGGCGTACACCATACCGACGCAAATAGTGTGCTGCGTTTTCTGTGTAAGACAGCGTGCAATACTGGTTAGTCTTGGTTCTTACGCAAAGGCAGAATGAGCTTTCCATTCCCTGCGAACTGCAGTCGTCACAATCAGAGGCTTGGATTCATGGTCTACGTACGCCAGCGCAGGACGCAGCACTCCACGCACTCCAGCCTAGCATGTCTCATGACTCCAGCAGACGCGACTTCTGCCCGCTTCGCGCCTGGAATGGGAGCCCTGACGAGCATGCCTCAGGGAGAAGCGAGAGGGCAAGATCACCACAACGACCTCACAAGATTGATACACCACCTACCGCCTGCTTCAGGCCTGGCAAAGGAGCCCCCGGGGGGCAAACCTCGTGACGAGTGGTGCGCGAGAAATGGGCAGCACATCCAACTTGACAGCAGCAAAAACACAAACGCGTCCGCGGAGGCGCGCCCGGCACGCACAATCCTCAACTGACAGCGGATGTGCAGGCTCCAGAAGGCCCCGGGAGGCCCCTGGAAGCGCGGACTCTGTGCAATTTGCAAGGGATCGTGCCTTGGGAGCGTGGGCGCAGCGTAATGTATGGGGATCGTGGCTCTGGGAGCGAGGACGCAGCCCAATTCATTAGGACTCGTGACCGACCCTTGGAGCGCGGAAGCGGCGTAATTTACAAGGGATCGTAGCCCTGGGAGCGTCAATCCAAAGTACTTTACTAGGGATCGTGGCTCTGGGTACGCGGACGTAGCCCAGTTCAAAGGGATCGTGACCCTGGGAGCGCGGACACAGCTTAATTCACAAGGGATCGTGGCCTTGGGAGCGCAAGTCCAAAGTAATTGACCAATCACTGTGATGCTGGGAGCGCGGACCCAGCGCAAAAAATTGCTAAGGGTCGTGGCCCTGGGAGAGCGGACGCATGCACAACGCATCTCAGCACAGTGCATCTCACCCCCTTACAGGGCATCATCGTCGTGGACATCCCCAGCGTTACCACTACCAATCGCCCAAAGTTGGACAACTCTGTAAATTTAGAACCTCTGGAGGCCTCTGGTGACCTCCAGGAACCCCTGGCGCCAGAGACCAGAGTAGATGGGGTCGGAGGATAGCACCGCATGACCGATGCATTGGTGATGCGTCGGTGAGGTCGGGACAGCGAAGATCAAGCTTCGGATCGCGCCACATCCGCGATGTGACGCGATCCTCCGACCTCATCTGTTCCTTGGTCTCCGGAAGTCTCCAAAAGCTTACACAGGTCTCCAGAGGCCAATGGCGTTCTCTGGCGAGGCCCTCGGAGGCCTTCGGAGGCCTCCAAAAATATCGAAACCTTACGGCAAACTCCTGTCGCGTCGACGCGGAAGTTGGCTTCTTACACCGCGTGTTGCAGAAGTTGCTTTCATGATATGCATACGTATGCCAGCAGACCCCTGCAATGGAAAACAACATCCATTTAGACACAAGGATCATCATTGTACAGCCTGTTGCTTGGGTTTGGGCCTGGGCTCCGGCTCTGGCCCTCGACAAAAAGGGCTTTGGTCAAACGGCCTGGTCTGAACGGGAGTGTTCTAGTGAGACAACCTGCTGCTTGGTTTTGGGCCTGGGCTCAGGCTCAAGGCTCTGAACAGCAGGACTTGAATCAAACGGCCGGTTCTGGACAGAAGCGCTCTGATCCTACAGCCTGTTGCCTAGGCCCGGGCCTGGGCACAAACCTGGGCTCGAGCCCAGGGCTCCGAACAGGAGGACGTGGATCAATCAAACGGCCTGTCCTGGACAGGAGGACTCTGGTCAGACCGCCTGGTGCTCCGGCTGAGGCTTGGGCTGCTCGAAGCCACTTTGGGGCTCAAGGCTCTGAACAGAAGCGTGCGAAGCAAACGGTCTGTTCTGAACCGAAAGAGTTTGATCAGACAGCCTGGTTGAAGGGGCCCTGGGACACACAAATAAATACACACAAATAAACAGATTCACCATATTTTCCCATATTCTCTGGGTTTTTGTCTTCCCCCCCACTTCCCATCTTTTCCCATTTTTTCTGGGGAATCGCCGATTGATTGTGTCTGTGTGTTTCTTTCCCTCCTGACTGTTGCTCGGGCTTGGGCCTGGGCTCGAGCCCGGGCGGGAGCTCGGGGCTCCGAGCAGAAGGGTGTGAATCGAACCGCCGAGTCTGAACAGAAGGATTTTGAGCCAAACAACCTGTTGCTTGGTCTTGGGCCTGGGCTCGAGCCTGGTATGGGGCTCAGGGCTCTGAACGGAGGGGTTCTGATACAACGGCATGTGTTCTGGCAAAGAACAAATGTTGAGCAAGCAGCCTGTTGCTCAAGTTTGGACCTGTCCTCGAACCCGGGCTGGCGCTCAGAGCTCTAGGGATACGGATTTCAATCAAACTGCCTGTTCTGAACAGGAGGATCTTAATCGGACAACCTTTTGCTTAGGCGTGGGCTTGGGCTCGAACGTGGGCTGGGTTCAGCTCTGAACAGACGGATGTTAGTCAAACAGCCTGTTCTGGAGAGAAGGATTTGAATCAGGCAGCCTGTTGCTCAGGCTTGAGCCCTGGCTAGAAGCCACGCTGGGGCTCAGGGCTCTCGACAATAGGGTGTCAATCAACATACTGTCCAGACAACAGGATTTTAAGCAGACAGCCTGGTGTTCAGGCTTGAACTTGTGCTCGAACCTGGGCTTGGACTCAGGACTCTCAACAGAAAGATGTGAATCAAGCAGGTCAGAAACATTGTAAGCAGACAGCCTATGGCATAGGCCTGGGCCTGGACTCGAACGTGGGCTGGGGCTTAGGGCTGTGAACAGACGGATGTTAGCCAAATTAAATGTTCTGACCATACCGACTCTACTCAGACATGCTGTTGCTCGGGCTTGAGCCTGGGCTCGAACCTGGGCTGGGGCTCAGGGCCCTCAACAATAGGACTTCAGTCGAACGGACTGCTCTGAAGAAAGGGATGGTAAGTCCGAGAGCCTGTTGCTCGGGCTCGGATCGGACAGCCTGCTGCTCGCGCTTGAGCCTGGGCTCGAACCCAAGCTGGGGCTCAGGGCTCTGAACAGAAGGATATGAATCAAACAACGGGCTTTGGCCTGTGGGTTAGATGCTCATTCTGGGGACCTTCCTGGAGCCACTCGCTCCACTCGTGCGTCGAAGCTGCGCCGAAGCTGCGTCGAAGCTGCGTCGAACCTGAGTCGATCCTGAGTCGAATCTGAGTCGAACCTGAATCGAATCTGAGTCGAACCCGAGTCGGACAGATCCGTTAGCTGGGCCCCAGGAAGGCCCCCAAAACGAGCATCGAATATATGGGTACGTGGGGCGCCCGTGGTCCGCGGGGCCTTCGCCTTGCAGCCGGGCGGCAGCGTGCAGGCCCCGGGGACGCTGCGCATCAGCTCCTGCGGGTGCCGGGAGGCGCAGCGCGAGGCCGGGCGCGACTCGCGGCCCCGCTCACGGCCCCTTCCGCCCCCCGTCGCTGTGCCTGCTCCAAGAAGAGGCATGAGGCGTGGAGGCAACCCTGAGCTGGATCGAACCCCGAAATCGAAGCGGATCGGAGACGGACCGGATCGCAAGCGAATCGTCCCGATTCGAATCGAGATCGAATCGCCGCGCCCGGCTCGGCTGGCCCTGGCCCTGGCCCTGGCACTGGTCCCTGAGGAGGGTGCACAAATCCGAGCGGCGCGCCACAGAAACGTGACGTACGGCTTTTCGTTGTCCCCAGCCTCCCCTCGTCGTGACGACGCGAGGTTTTTGGCCATTTTCGGCATTCGGGGGCCCTCACCCGGCCTCAGGAGCCGCCAAAAAGCGGCCGAAGATGAAACACCGGCCCAGGGGGGGTCCAAACGGCTGGGTGTCCACGTAAACGTTGTGAAAGCATTGCGACGCCGGAACTGCTGTTCCAGGATGACCCTGAGATCCCAGCGACGCGAAAAAACACAGACGTCTGGCTTTCCTCAATTTGCTCTGTCTGTAGGCCGTTTCCCGGCACCGGGACTGTCAAAAAACAGCTCGAGCGGGGTGATAACCCGGCCCCGGGGGGTGGTCGGGATCCCCGTGAACCAACGTCGCGAACAAGAAGGCACGTCGGAGGAGAGGGGACGAGGAGGCGTGAGGCGAGAGAAAGGATGAGATCTCGCGGCTTCAGAGAAGCAGGTACATCAACGGCGCAGGCATGATGTTTCGAACGCTGAGGATTGTGTCCAGGAGGGCGAAGAAGAGCAGCAGCAGCAGAAGCAGGAGGAGGGATGATAAGTACAGGTGGAGGTGGAAGCGAGCGCAAAGGTGGAGGCAAAAGTCGGGGTGGAGGCGGGCGCAGAAATTGAGGAGAGTCTAGATGTGGAGGCGAAGGAGACGTTCGCTGAGATGGAGGAAGGGAGGAGGCTGACGCTGCAGGTGTGTGTGTGTGTGCCTTGCAGCTTGCCTAAGAAAAAAGGAGGGGGAGGATGAGGAGGAGTAGGGAACTTGTTTCAAGGGGACCACATCAACGCTCCAGGGCAGGAAAAACGTGGAAGAATGATGACCAAACCCCGAGCAGCGGGTCAGGGCGGAACGGCGGGAGCGTGCATGGACCTGTGTGTCGGAGAGCGGGTCGACTCGTTGCGTGTGGAGCCCGAAGTTCCCAGCTGTCCAAGCTTGTGTCTATGTGTGTATATATGTATATGTATATGTCTGTTAAAATACACATATGCGGGCATGTGTAAGTCCGCCGGCCCCCTTGTGGGGCCACCAGGCTGTAGGCGCGGGTTCGCAGTTTCCTTACCAGTTGTAGCTTGTAGTTTCCAGTGTTACAGTTCTACTTCTTGCTGGTTACTGTAACTAGTTGACTTCTTGCTGGTTACTGTAACTAGTTGATTGACCGCGCGAGGGGGGGGGAGGCCCAAACAAAACTTTTAGCGTCCCCTGGGCGCGTTGTCTGAATTGCTGGGGGGGCTCGAAATCGACACCCCTCACGCAGATCCGCGGGGTCAGGGTCCAAAAACACAGGCGATTTGCCACATTTCTGAAAGTCGGTGCCACCCCTCACGCAGATCCGCGGGGTCAGGGTCCAAAAACACATGGGATTTGCCACATTTCTGAAATTCGGTGCCACCCCTCACGCAGATCCGCGGGGTCAGGGTCCAAAAACACAGAGGATTTGCCACATTTCTGAAATTCGGTGCCACCCCTCACGCAGATCCGCGGGGTCAGGGTCCAAAAACACAGGGGATTTGCCACATTTCTGAAATTCGGTGCCACCCCTCACGCAGATCCGCGGGGTCAGGGTCCAAAAACACAGGGATTTGCCACATTTCTGAAATTCGGTGCCACCCCTCACGCAGATCCGCGGGGTCAGGGTCCAAAAACACAGGGATTTGCCACATTTCTGAAATTCGGTGCCACCCCTCACGCAGATCCGCGGGGTCAGGGTCCAAAAACACAGGGGATTTGCCACATTTCTGAAATTCGGTGCCACCCCTCACGCAGATCCGCGGGGTCAGGGTCCAAAAACACAGGGGATTTGCCACATTTCTGAAATTCGGTGCCACCCCTCACGCACATCCATCGCAAGGCGTGGTAACCCAAACTGCGAGTACTCCCTCGGCCCTTTAATCCCAAGGTGTGGTAACCAAGCTCGTAAACCATACACGTCTTACCAATCGCCATGTGTGGTAACCCCTCTTGTGATCAGTTGGTTTTGCCGATTGCGAATCGGCCTCGCATGAAGTTCCGATACTGCTGCACGACAGCGCCAAAGCCTCATGACTTAGCTCTTCCATGGCCCATTCTCCGAGAGAGGGGGCCGGCGGCAGGGGGCGAAGCCCTTACGGATATATGAACGCACCCAATTATCATATATATATATAGAGAGAGAGGCCTCGGAAGACATTAGCGATCACTCATGCCGCATTCATCTGTCAATGCCCCCCCAACGATCCATGTTGGCTGTGGGTTGAACGAGCTGCGCTTCGACCGCAGTCTTCCCCGCGCGTGCCAACTTCGAGTTTGGGGGTGCCGGGGAGTGTCCACTAATTGTTTCCTTCTACCTACAAGAACGCATTGGAGCTTTGCGCCACACGCCTCGGTCCCTCAAGCCTTGCATATGTTGGCACTTGGCACCATCCTCTTTGGCCTTTGAATTTTGGCCGTTTCCCGTCCAATCTCCAGTCCCCTCACCCGTTCTTATTTGCTCTTGCCCTCGATTACAGACCCGTGCACCACCCGAATTTGTTTTGGGGCACGTTTTGTTTCAAATTTCGAGGCGGACCCGATCACGTGGCGCGAGAACGCCACCTGGAGGCTCCGAAAAAACATCGAACCATAATTGCATGCCTTCTTCGCGCGATCCTGCGCCGGCTGGTGTCTCAACGGCCTGCGCGTCGATTTTTGACACCGCTTGGATCGTTCAAGCGTGAACGACCGCGCATTCCCGTTCAACGCCGGCCGAGTCCTGACCACTGGCCGCGTTCATTCCGTACGCCCGCGCTGGGGTCGCCGCCTCGTCGACACAACGCAAACCGACTGCTGTAGAGGAAAAACCGTTTCCGGGAGGTCGATTTTTTACCCCGGGATCTGTTGAGGCCACCCGGGTTGCAGCGGTTCCTGCAAGCCGACGTCGAACCCAAACCTCCGAGGATGGCAGAAGCCTGGCGGCTTCCAGCGGCTCCCAGTGGCATAGAACCAGCAAAATCTGAGCCATCCCAGACCGCGAACAGTGAGGTGTGGAACTCCGGCGGACAAAGTTCCGCGGGTAAACCCATGTGATGTGAGCTATGTTGTGGCATCCATGTGGTGTGAGCTACGTGGTGAAAGCTTTTCGGTGTAAGCTACGTGGTGGAAGCTGCATGGTGTAAGGTATGCCATGCGGGCGACGTGGTGGTATCTACACGATGTCAAGTACATGGTCTGGGACAAGTGGTATGCTCGATGTGTTGGGAACGGCGCTGTGGAAGCTGTGCGAACGGAAGGTGCTGGTGTGAGCCATATGGCATGGGGGCCCACGAGCGCCCGCGACGCGGCAGGGGCGGGCACGCGACGAAACCCTAGCTGACCTGCTAAAGTTAAGTCGGGCGTGTCCCCCTACAGGGAGATTTTCGACGAACTAAATAAAAAATACTAGAAAAATGCTCCAAAAAGATCAAACAAATACTAAACAAATAGTCCCCAGACTATTTTTGTTTTATTTTTGGACAATTGTTGGGGTATTTTTAAAAATTGGTCGTCGAACATCCCCCTGTAGGGGGACAGGCCCGACTTAACACTAAAGCTCTGAATGCCGAAACAGAAAACCCTAGAGCAAGCGCCGTCTGGGAGACCTACAGGACATCGTCCTCCGATTTCTCGAATCTCCACTCGTCTACCCTTCTCTTCGGTGCCCGTCCTCTCTGCCGCCCCCTCCCGCGGCGTCGCCGTCGGTGCCGAGTGCCCCCTGGTGATCTTGGGCAGCCAGTGCAGGAGCGACACGGGAAACAACGCCGACGATGACACAAACATAGCAAGCGAGTATAGGCATGAAGGGTATGGCGCAGGCGGTAGCTTTAAACATGTGAGCCAACGGCTACGGATGCATGGGTACGTACACAATTGAAGAACATGCGCCCATGAATGATGTGAAGGGCGCTTGTGTGGCGCACACTCTGGCCCGCTCGTGGCCCAGGCTGCCCGAGTGCGCAATGCGAAGCAATGGCAAGACATGCGAATGAATGCCAAACAAAGCAGAGCACTGTCAAGCAATGCCGCATAATACCAAACAGTGCAATGTGAAATAATATGCCATGGCTTCGGGAATACACAGAATCCTGGGTTCGCCACGGATTTCAAGGGAATTGTGCTGCGAATCCCGGATTCGGGTCAATTCGGTGAATTTCGCAGGAGACGCCTCCTGGAAGACACGCGATCATGCAAAGGGACGACGTTCGGGGTTCTTCGCGTGGCCACCACGCGGGTTCGCTCGTGGCCCACGTCGCCTGGTCGCGCAGTGCAAGGCAATGAAAAGCAACGCCTCGTCGTTTCTCATCGTACTCCTCGTTCATCCACGCTGCCGCCTGGCACAGCGAACCACTTCCCGTCTGTCGCAGATCGTTTTGCGGGGACTCCTCGTTGCAGAGCCTCCTCCTACTCCTCCTCCTCCTCCCCCTCCTCCCCTTTCTCCCCCCCCTCCTCCCCCTCCTCCTCCTCCTCCTCCTGCTCCTCCTCCTCCTCCTCCTCCTCCTCCTCCTCCTCCTCCTCCTCCTCTTGGGCGGAGCGCGCGCGCCGACCCCCCACAGATCCCGGAGCCCGGGGGGCGATGCCCCTGGCCCGAGGAGAAAAGGGGGGCCCGCGCAAGCTGCGGCAGGCCTGGGCAGGAGGCCGGGCGCCTCTGGCAGTCGCCCTCCAGGGGCGAGCAAGAAGGAGGGAGGGGGGGGGGGGGGGGGGGGGGGCAAGCTAGGTGCGGTCTCGCGTCATATATGACGTCCTGCCCCTCCCTCCCGGCCCTTACCATGTCGCAGATCTCCTCTCTATTCGCACAGTCGGATGCCGGGCAGGGCAACGATCGCGACAGGGGGCGCGATGCATGTTAGAGCACGGCATGGCATGGCGTAGAAGAGCACGGCAGAGCGCAGCATGCCATAGCATGGCGTGGCACTGCGAAGCGAAGCATTGCATTGCAACGCAAGACAGGGCATCGCACAGCGGCGCAGAACACAAGACCGCACAGCATGTCATGGCATGGCGCTGGGTTCCTTGGAGGGTAAGTGGATCGTCTTCGAAAGGCCTGGGCTGGTCTGGAGTCGTGGCTCCATGTCTAGCTCCATTGGCTTCCCGAAAAGCTCCACACAAGGCGGGGCTGATGGAGAGCAACCGCTGGTTCTGCTTTCAACATCGCCTTCTGAAAACAGAAACGGAGCTCCCGCTTGATACTTCCTGAAAACGACGATGCTCCAAAGTGGGGGGTTCTGCGGTCCAGAAAATCAACGAATCGACGCCGAATATGGAATCACTTCCGATGGTTGTTTCGGGGGACATGTTTAAGATTATGGGGCCTTTTGCGAAGGACCGAAAACGCCCGCGCTGCAGCGCAGCGGGAGCATGATTTGGAACAACCAGAGGCGCAGAAATGGAGCCAGCGCTTCAGCGGGAGCAGAACCACTGCGAAAACCCGTTTCCCGGAAATCCTGCGTTTAAAAAAAACATTACGCGGAGGGGGGCTGAATATCTGCCGGACGTCATCAGGGGAGAGAGGAGAATAGTGCTCATATTGTGTAATTGTAAAGAGAGGGCGGGGGGAGGGGAACACGGTCAAAACGTATATTAAGGACGGGTGGTAAGGACGCAAGACCCTTGGAGGCCGAAGTTGGGATTTCTTGGGCGGCGGGCGAACGGTGAAAACGGCAAAGGACGGGCCGCAGAGGCAAGAACACAAGGGTACCCGAGATGAAGGCGCGCGTCCTTACTAGGCGCGCTGACTGCAAGAATAGGCATAACAACACGACGATGTTAACATATGCGAATGAGAGAGAGAGAGAGAGAGAAAGAGAGAGAGAGAGAGAGAGCACTACATCTCAGGCTTCCCCCGTGCAGCCCCCTTCCTCTGCCCTGGAAGCCCTGGGAACCAACCCTTGATGAAAACAATCCGATCCGAGCAGGATCTCCTGGTGCCATTGAGGGGCCGAGGACCACGACGCTCTAGCCTGAGCCCCGCTTGTAGGTTAGGGAGGGGAAGGGGGGAGGGAGCAGGAGCGGGGAGGGGGAAGGAGGGAGGAAGCGGAAGGGCTCCTCCTCCTCCTCCTCCTCCTCCTCCTCCTCCTCCACCTCCTCCTCCTCCTCCTCCTCCTCCACTTCGCTCCTCCTCCTCCTCCTCCTCCTCCTCCTCCTCCTCCTCCTCCTCCTCCCCCTCCTCCTCCTCCTCCTCGAAAGGGGAAATGGGAGGGAGGATCTGTCTGGCGCGCGCCAGTGGGGCCCTGCGAGGCCCGCGTGAGACCCTCGCGGGAGGAAGCCCAGCGAGAAGAAAAAGCCTCTACAGGGCAATCGGATGCCGGCCAGATCCCTGCAGATTTCGCGCTGCGCGTTCCAACGATGACCCCGTTTCCGAGGCGTCGATGCGGCTTGAGCACGAGCTGCATCATCATCACCACCACCACTACCATCACCATCACCATCACCACCACCATCACCACCACCACCACCATTATCATCATCATCATCATCACCATCATCATCATCATCATCATCATCATCATCATCAGCACCGCAAGCATCATAACCACCATCCATCATCATCAGCATCATCAGCATCATCATCATCCTCATCCTCATCCTCATCCTCACCATCATCAGCATCATCATTAGCATCATCGTCATCATCATAATCATCAGCCACCATCATCAGCATCATCAGCATCGTCATCATCACCACCATCATCATACCCGTCTTGTTATTATTCGTATGTCATTGATAGTAGTCGTAGTAGTAATAATATTAGCATTAGCATCCTTCTTAATAATTTTCGTAAAACTTATTAATACTCCTCCTCCTCCTCCTCCTCCTTCTCCTCCTCCTCCTCCTTCACCTTCTCTTCCTCCTCCTCCTCCTCCTGCTCCTCCTCATCCTCCTCCCCATGCTCCCCTTCCGCATAATCCTCCTTCCTCATCCACCTCCCCTGCCGATCACCACTCTTCCGCCTTCTCTTGCTCTTCCCCCATGACTGGAGGGTGGGACGACGGAGAAAAAAGGGGAGGGCACCGATGCGTAATATTCACCACGGGCTCATGCAGAGCCTCGGTCCGATCGAAAAACGGCGACGGAAGCGCACGGGTGACCTCAGGCGAAGGGCCAGCCCCGGGCGACGTGCTGCCGCGCGAGGGCTGCACTCAGACTGCCGGCGCGTGCTCCCTGGCGGCCGCGTGCGCGCTCGCTTGGATTCTATAGCTGGGCCGAGCTCTCGGAGCTGGTGCCGAGACGGCAACGGAGGAGGACCCGCATGTGGAGGCCGGAGCGGTGGGCGGAACGATCGGCTCGCGCCCCATCCCCGCCCTCCCGGCGCCCGCGCGCGCCGTCTCCTTTAGCTTGGCATCGCCGACGTTGTTCTCCAGCCGGCACCACAGGGGCGTTGGGCCTGGAGGCTGCTCCGAGCAGGGGCGAGCAGGCGGAGGACGACGAGCTCGAGAGGGCACCGACAAGCACTGAGGCCGGCGCTGGGCTCCCAGGGAGCGGCTTGCTCGCAGAACCAGGAGGCCACCCGAGCACTGAGCTGACCCATCAACCGTGGAGCTGCCGCCGTCAGCCTGCAATGAGTCAGGTCAGCACCCGAGCCCCCCGGGCACCACCTGAAGGGACTCGAGCGACCCGAACGCTGACCGGACCCTTTTTGTGATCCCGCCGTGGTGAGGCGAGAGGCGTGGGGCCGGGGGAGGGCGGCACCGAAGCCAGAAGCGCAGCGAGGAAAGCGATGGGGATGTTGCACGTCAGCCCTCGAACCGCCGCCCCTTCCACCGCCCACTCGCCGCGGGCCTGCCCGCCAGACGCGCAGGCCGATGGGTATTCACGTGCGTGGCCAGTGTCAGGGGCTGGCCTCACATCGGCCCCCCTCGTGGCGCGTGGCTGCGGACGATGCTGCTCCTGCTGCTGGCGCCCTCGACCCCTCCCCCTGGCCAACGCCAGGGGGAGGGGCATCAAGAATAACCACGAGGTGGTGCGTGAGGAGACGGGCAAGAGGAGACCACGGGAGGAGGCGAGGATGAGCCCCCCCCCTCGGTGACTCGTGACTGCAGGCAGTGTCGAGAGATCGCCCCAATGCACTCGGACCCTCCCGCCAGTCGGTGGAGGGGCAGAAGTAAAGCAAGAGGTCATGAGACAGAACAGGAAGGATAACAGCAACGATCCTAATTAAAGAGGCCCCCCTCCTCCTCCTCCTCCTCCTCCTCCTTTTCCTCCTCCCCCTCCTCCTCCTCAGCCCTCAGCCTCCTCCTGCAACCGCGGACTCCTCATCTTTCGGGGGCGCAATGACCCCAGTCACTCGGGCTTTGCAGGATCCTGCAAGATCCTGCAGGATCCTGCAGGATCCTGCACGCTTGCCCAGTTCAGTGCACCCCTGGTTTTGCAGGATCCTGCAAGCTACGGCGCTCTGGCTGACCCCCGTTTGCTCTGACCCCCGTCTCAAGGCTCCCGAATCCTTAGGA